AAAATAGATCTTATGGTCTTCATATGAATCATCGCCCTAAATGTTAGTATTCCATTGCCATTAGAATCACATAAAAAGGAGATTTATAGCTCAAGTTATGATTAAATTAGTGAGCGAAGGTCAGTGAATCATATTAAGGCTAAAACACTATGATTTTGTAACTTTTAAAAGTAGTAAATGACCGAATTAACTCTTAAAAACAAACCTTTTTTCTTGAAAAACTATCTTTTCAAAAATGTGTTTGTCACCATCAAAAAGAAGGAAATTGTTAGGTCAAAAGATGATCTTAGATCCCTTGAGTTATAAGTTTTATTGATAACAAACATAAATTTTTTTTTTGATAAAAGTTTTTCAAGTTATTCAATAAGATGAATGCACTAAGACAATATGTTATGTTCACATAAAAAGTCTAATAGATGAAACACTTCATCTATAAGACATTTATTTTAAATTCATATAACTTAAGATGTATGGTAACTAAATCAATTTTGGTGTACATGATTCCTTAACAAACTAAAGTAAACTAACTTCCTTCAAGCCCACAATGGCAAAAGAGAATAAAGATATACTTTGCATCAGAAAAAGACAAGCAATTCCCTTGAATCACAAAAATCCTCAAAAAAGTTATTTTTGAACTAACACATGCATGACGCCACCTTTTAGATAAGCAACTTCCTTGTTCAGATAAGAAGTGACAATTTGGTGAAACATGTTTAATGCGAGCAATTAATGCACCATCAAACACTTGTCTCCATATGGAACAAAAATTGAAGATAGACGAAGCAAGTCTATGAAAGATGCTAAAGGATTTAGGTCATCTTCACCAAAATACTTATATAAAGAAGTTTAAAGAATAAAAATGAAGCAAAGAAATATACATATTGTAAAATTACATTGATTCTTTCAATGTATAAGTCTTGTACATAATATTGTAGTATCATGTCTTGAAAGTAAGACAAACAACATAATTATCTTACCTAGCTTTAACCTTATGTTATTACTTTGAGCTTGAAGAGGCTTGACTGAAAAAATAATACTTGGTTGTTTGAAGCTTGAAGAGGCTTTGTGTTAAAAAATACTTGGATATTTGCTTGAAGAGGCACGTTAAAGAATACTTAAGTTGATCTAGAAGTGGATTGTAAAAAGATACTTGTATATTTGTAAAAAAAATGGTAGAACATGATTAGATTTAATCAAGAATTGGACGTAGTCTCGGTGATTCAGATGAACCAGTACAAAAATACTTTGTGTTCTTCTAACTTACTCTTTCATCTACACTTCTATAATTTCGCTACTACTTCACTATTTCAAAAAAGTGAGTTTTTGATTAACATTATTCAACCCCCTTCTAGTGTCTTTCTTTTGTCCATAGTGGACCAAGTGCTTACCACTAAACCAAAAGTTATAGCTGATAGTTAGGGCGTAACTCTTTCTACTTAATCGTAGCAGCCTAAGGTCATGTGTTTAATTCTCACTGGGATTGGTGAGGGAGAGATTATTTGTTGGGTGGCATCAATTGTCTCATGGCGAAGGCCTAGGCTAGTCAAGTCATAACTGAGACACATGGTGCTTTAACTATTACAGTTAAGTAGAAAAAGTTGTGCCCTAACTTTCGGCTATAACTTTTGGCCTAGTTGTAAGTTCTCGATCCAACAATGTTATTTCTTTTGAAATCAAAGCTTACCATTATGGTAGCAAGGTAGGAATAGGAGTATATTTTGTGAGCCATGTTGGAGGATGGTGGTGTTGGTTGGGCTACTCTTATGTTGTTGTCCTATAATTGTTATTTGACTAACAAGTAGTTGGATTACTATAGATATGTGTATATGTGTGTGTAGATGATTTGTGGTATAGTCTTATTGGCAAATGTTTATGTTTTCAATATATACTTCTATATATATACAGTAACGGATTCAGAAACTTTAGATAGTACGGACAATATTTATTAATATATTTATAGTATTAAAAATTATACATATAACTTTTAAAAGTATAAATATATATCATAATTATTTTTTTATAATTTTTTATATTTATGATTATAAGTAAAGATAAAAATAAATTAGGTCATACTATATTATATTATAATTTAGTAGGTTTAAACATAACTTTTTAAAAAAATATATATCCTAAGTATGATTTATTTATCTTCCATAAACATTTTTTAAGTATTTGATTAGAACTGCAATCCTAAAAATCTAATTTATAATAATTTAATACTAATAAAAAAATATAAAAATAAATATGTTAAATTTTATAAAAATTAAGTTTATTTTATTTATGATATAAACATGTTTTTAATATCTAATATGTATTTTTAGATGATAGTTTATTTTAAAATATATTTTATAATAAAAATTCTAAATACAACATAAATCTTTCGATATTTCCTATTTTGATTTTTTTAATCAACATATATAATAAATAGAAAATACAAAAGGTAAACATATATACTGCAAATTTTATTTTATCAAAAATTAATTTTTTTAACATATTATATTATATATATGATTTAAAATAAAGAAAATATGCATGTATCAAATAGAAGTGGGGGCAAGTGCCCCCACTGTTGACAACCTAGATCCGTCCCTATATATATATATATATTATTGCATGAATATCTAGGAAATTTTTGCCTGGTAATCCTAGTTTAAATAGAACTATGTTTTTCATTGCTTTATTTGTTGAATTGTAAAGTGTAGAGACCTGTCAATTTATTATAAATCCTCTCAAGAAAAGGAAACCCCCAACACTAGTTCTAGACTAGTAGCATAAAATGTTTTAAGTGTCTAAGGACAAGGCACATTGTCTTTCAATACCCCACCAAAATGACCATGATCTTAAGGGGAATAAACCATTATAGTAGTCATGAGGAGACTGCATCTTCTTCCTCCATCTCTAATAGTAGTGAAAAAGAGGGTGGAGATTGTTCAAGTGGAGAGGAAACTTATCCATGTAATGGTGATCTCTTGATGGTTAGAAGGCTTCTTAGAAGCCAATCTTTTGAACTTAACCAATCCCAAAGAGTGAACTTATTTCATATAAGATGTAAGGGTTTTTATAAAACTTGTTCTCTCACTATGGATAGTATGATTCATGTTGTAATGTATGTAGTATAAGGTTGGTTAACAAGCTAAGACTCATTGTCATTCCCCACCCAAAGCCTTATAGAATTTAGTGGTTGAATGATAAATAGGAAATAGTAGTTGACCAACAAGTGGCAATTACACTTTTAAGAGGAAACTACAAAAATGAAGTTTTATGTGATATGGTTCATATGGGAGCTAGTCACATTTTGTTGGGAAGACTATGACAATTTGACAAGAAAGATATTCATAATGGTCTTACTAATAAAATAACCCTCACACATATGGATAAGAAGTTTGTGTTACATCTTCTTTCATCTTCACAAGTGGTTGAGGATGTTTCTAAAACTAATTTACTTTTGTTTTCTTATAAAATTAAATTTAAAAACATATATAAAGATATTTTTGACATTATATTGAAACTATTTTAAAATCACTCCCCTCCCCTCCAAATCCTCCCAATATTGGACGGAGGTTAAAATTAGATGAAGAGAGGTTTTGCCCCTTCTCTTCTCTCATAAAAATTGAATCAAACAAGATAAGTTTATAAAAATTTCTCTCTCCCCCTTCATTCCCCTTCAACCAAACATTATGTTAGGATTTTGAATGGTGTTTTACCCATAAATAACATAACCTTTTTACTCTAAAGTCCTAAAATTTGTTTATTTGATAACAAAATGAGTTAGCTACTCAATAGATAGTCAAATTGAAAAAAGTGTTAAACTAAAACACCATTCACATTCTTGAAAGCATATGTTGCTGACACTTTAGTCTCTAAAAGTATAAAATTTTTAAAAGAATCCAAAAGTATAAAATTTGTAAAAGAATTCCTGAAAAAGTGAAATGTTACTTACTTTTTAATTCAAAATTTTAAAAAAATGTGACTTAAATGATAATATTAATGTATATTTAAGAATTAAAATGACAATAAGTGAGCATTTAGAGACTTAAATGAAAAAACTAAATTATTCAAGGAATTATTTATAATTTCATTATTTTAAGATTTAAAGTGCTAACAACACACTTTCAAAAATTCAAAAGGTGTTTTTATCAAAAATGTTACTTTGAGAAAGAGTAAATAATTGATTTAACCCTTTAAAATTATAATGATCAATAAAATTGGTCCTTAAAAATTATAAAATAATAAAATTACTTAAAATTGTACATTATTAAGCAACTCAGTTCCTAAAATTATAATGGATCATCAAATTAGTCCATGAAACAAATAAAATGGTAGAGTAATTTTTGAAATTGTAATTTATTAATCAATTTAGCCCTAAAATTATAATGGTTGGTCAAATTAGTTCCTACAAATAATAATAAATAAAAAAACTTATTTTCATTTTTGGTCTTCAAACTTTTAAATTTGGTAAATTTTGTCCCTTAATTTTTTTTAACGCATTTTCACCTTAAACTTTTATAATTTCACAAATTTTTCGTCTTAACAACATTATATATCTTATTTTTTTTTCAAGGATCAATTTAACCGAATCTTACAATCATAGGACTAAATTAATCGATATTGATAATTAGAAACTGTTTTCTCATTTTATTAATATTATAAGAACCAATTTAATCAGCAATGATTGACTCTATAATCAAATGTAAGTTAGTTTGTGGACTGAAATAAGTCCAAAATCAAACCTGCCTATCAATTTCTAGGAACAAAACTATTATTTAATCAGTTTTACATTCAATTTAGGGATATATAATGTGGGTCGTATGATCTGCGTTACAATTAAGTTGCTGAACGTGTAGATAGAATTGCACCCCACTACTTTGTTGCTAGCTAAGACTCAAGACTTGTACACCATGGGATGGGTCAAAGTTGACCAAGTCAAACATATCCATTCAACAAGGACAAAGACTTCCACGATCATCGTAATGGAATTCTTAGTCTTTGGATTGATTTATATTTATATTTATCAACATACCTAACTAAAACGTAAGGAGCAAGTTGATTCTCACCATGGCTTCCCCTTTGCTTCCCCTTCTCTTCTGCTCAATGATTCTGTTACCCTTTGTTCTAGCCCAAACCAAAAGCGTTATGGTCATTGGTGACTCTCACACTGCAACAACCAGCACCTCCCCATGGTTGGTTTCATCACCTTCCGGTGACTTTGCCTTTGGCTTCCTCCCACTTGAGGACACTCCCAACACTTTCATACTTTGCATTTGGTATGCAAAGATTCCAGACAAGACCATAGTTTGGTTTGCCAATAGGGACAAGCCTGCCCCAAAGGACTCAAAAGTGGTGCTTTCTGCTGATGATGGGTTGGTCCTCACTGCTCCAAATGGTGATCAGTTATGGACTTCTGAGGGCCTTAGTGTTAAAGTTTCTAGTGGTGTTTTTAATGACACTGGCAACTTGATGCTTAAGGATAGTGGCTCAAACAGTGCTTGGGAGAGTTTCAAGGATTACAGAGACACCTTGCTGCCCTATCAGACTCTGGGAAGTGATCAGAAGCTTTCTTCTAGGCTTAAGGAGAATGATTTCAACCTGGGCAGGTTTGAGTTATTGTTTCAAAATGATGGTAACCTTGTGATGCACTCTATAAATTTGCCATCTGAGTATGCTAATGAGAATTACTATGAAAGTGGAACCATTGCGTCCAACACTTCAAGTGCTGGAACTCAATTGGTTTTTGATGGATTAGGAGGGTTGTATATTTTGAGAGAGAACAAAGAAAAATTCAACTTTTCAGAAGGGGGTGGTAGAGTTTCTACCACCCAATTTTACCTAAGAGCAACTCTTAATTTTGATGGGGTGTTCACACTCTATCAACATCCAAAGGGTTCTTCTGGAAGTGGAGGTTGGACCCCAGTGTGGTCTAAACCAGATAATATCTGTAAGGCTAATATGGTTGATAAAGGTAGTGGGGTTTGTGGATACAATAGCATTTGCAGTTTAAGAGATGATAACAGGCCAACATGTAAGTGCCCAAAATGGTACTCACTGGTTGATCCTAATGATCCCAATGGTAGCTGCGAACCAGATTTTGTACAAGCATGTGTTGGAGATGAACTTAGAGAGGATCTCTATGATTTTGAGGTGTTGATAGATACTGATTGGCCTTTGTCAGATTATGTTCTTCAAAAGCCCTTCACTGAAGACCAATGCAGACAATCTTGTAAGGAAGATTGCATGTGTTCTGTTGCCATTTTCAGGCTAGGTGACAGCTGCTGGAAGAAGAAGTTGCCACTTTCAAATGGTAGAGTTGATACCACACTTAATGGTGCAAAGGCCTTCATGAAAGTGAGGAAAGACAACTCATCATTGCTTAATCCTCCGATCATTGTGAAGAAGAAGGACAGGAGCACTTTGATTTTGGTTGGCTCGGTGCTTTTGGGTGGTTCTGCTTGTCTCAATCTCATATTTGTTGGAGCAATCTGCTTGAGCACTTCCTATGTTCTTCAGTACAAGAAGAAGCTTAGAAGTGTTGGCAAAATTGACACTACAGTGGAAACCAATTTGCGTTGCTTCACCTATGAGGAACTTGAGGAAGCCACCAATGGCTTTGACAAAGTGCTAGGAAAGGGAGCTTTTGGTGTTGTGTATGAAGGAGTCATCAACATGAGTTCCGTTACTCGCGTGGCAGTAAAAAAGCTGAACACTTTTCTCTTGGAAGATGTTCAGAAGGAATTCAAGAATGAGCTGAAAGTCATTGGCTTCACTCACCATAGGAACTTGGTTCGTTTACTTGGATTCTGCGAGACTGAATCAGAAAGGTTGCTGGTTTATGAGTTCATGAGCAATGGCACTTTAGCAAGTCTTCTTTTCAATGTGGAGAAACCAAGTTGGAAACTGAGGCAACAAATTGCAAATGGGGTTGCTAGAGGACTTGTATATTTGCATGAAGAGTGCAGCACACAGATCATCCATTGTGACATAAAGCCTCAAAACATACTCCTTGATGATTACCATATTGCAAGAATTTCTGACTTTGGATTGGCCAAGCTTTTGAACATGAACCAAACCAGAACCAACACTGCCATAAGGGGAACAAAAGGGTATGTTGCAATTGAATGGTTCAAAAACATGCCAATCACGGCTAAAGTGGATGTCTATAGTTATGGGGTGATGTTGCTTGAGATAGTTTCATGCAGAAAAAGTGTACAGTTTGAGGAAGAAGATGAAGAAAAAGCAATCCTAACCGATTGGGCTTATGACTGCTATAATGAAGGTGCTCTTCATGCCTTGGTTGAGGATGACAAAGAGGCATTGGATGACATGAATACCTTGGAGAAGTTGGTAATGATAGCCCTTTGGTGTGTGCAAGAGGATCCTGATCTTAGACCAACCATGAGAAATGTGACACAGATGCTTGAAGGTGTTGTTGAAGTGAAAGTGCCACCATGCCCCTCACTAATTAGCATTCAATATTCCCTAAATTAATCAGTTGGTTCTAATCCTAGCTGTGGTATCTAGACGCTAGTGTAACTTGTAAAAATTGCATTTATGTATGTGTATCCATTTGATTTATGTTCCTTCTGCATTAACATTTGGGGATTTAGATCAATTGAACTTTTGTATTAACTAGCTTAGTGACCCAGTTATGTTATGGATTTTGAGTATATGTGAGTAAATTTAATAAAAACACCCATGCAATGATGCAAAAGAAATTAAGAACAGACTATTAAATTATATTCATGCTTGTTGCTTGAGAACCACAAAACTATTAAATAATAAATAAGAGTAGTTTTAGCCCACAGGAATCCACCCTGCACTTTGATGACCGAATTCAGCATATAGACATGTTCACTTTATTACTTGAGAATGACTCATATGTTTAATAATCACAAAGCAGCCAAGGGGTGTTTGGAGAACTAGGGAGTGTTTGAAAAAGAAAAGTTTGTACACATAGTTTGATAAACATGGATTTATTCATTGTACTCTGAAGATATTGGACTAAGGTAACAACCGATATGCAATATTCACTAGCAAATTTTAATTTCCCATCATATTTATTCATCACTAATTTAAACGTGGCTTTTGACATGTCCCGTTTTAGTTATCACACAGTAATTATTGTCGTTCTATAATGGAACAAATGATTGTTATTATTATATTATAGCTTTCCCATATTACCAACACCGGTAAAACTGTAAAATTTCAATAAAACTAATAACAACACACTCTTGGACACTATCTGACTTGTTAAAATTTATTAAAAAATATAAAAATTGGTAAATTTCATATTTTATTTAATGATTATCTTTCTTGATTTTGTAATTTTTAATAAACTTTCACCAATAAAAAAAAATGTATTAAGAAGAGTATGTTAAAAAATGTGTTTCTAGTTCTGTTCAAAGTTGAATATGCAAACACAACCACAGCACTACATAGACTAGTATTTAAAGGAAACTTATACACATAGCTGAGTAATACACGGTATGTTGCTAAGCTTAGCAGTGGTGTACCAGACATGAAAAGAAAAAGGAGCATGCGATTGTATTATCCACAATTACACTTTTGCTGTGTTTTTTTGGGGAAATCTAAGAGAGATATTTGGAAAAGATTTAGGAAAAATATTGAGTATTTCTCCTGTAGTTGGAAAGAAACTACAGGGTGGTGCAGTCCGAATCTAATCGTTGGAATATTTTTTTAGCTTGTTTATGTTTTCGTTTTTTTTTTTTTTTTTATACTAAGCTTGTTTATGTTTATAATGTTTTAATGGATAAACTATATAATATCCTAAGTTGGTAATTTTAATGGATAAAAAAAATTTATAAAATATCAAATTAAGGATGTAGATTTGATGCAGATGAATATACAATAGTAGGGAATCCAAATTTGGAAGGGAATTGGGAAGAAGTTACAAAAAACATGGGGTTTTCCGGTATTTCCTCCCACTATAGTTATGATTTTAGGTGAAAAGTACTTGTAAGGTGTTCCTTAAAAAATAAATAATTTATTTTTACAATATAAATAAATAAGAAATCCTTTTTTAAGGAAAAAAAATATATTTTTAATTAATATAAAAAATTATATTATTTCTTTATTTATTTTCACTCATTCATGCGAGCACAATTTTTATTTTCCTATTTTTTTTCTTCTTATTATGATGGTGAAAATTATGAAGAAGTGAACGGATTGGCTTCCATAGCCTTCACCAAGCACAAGATCGTCTTCTTTGAAGTTGGAACCGATTGAATGAAGCATAAGTGACTCGGAGAGTCAGATGGATGACTTGGGACTTCTAGACTAAAAAGGAAGCATCCTAGCACAAGAAGCAAAGGAAAGCTCACTTTCAAAAGTTGGAAATGAGATAGGTTTTTCCTAATTCTAAGTGTGGCTCTCGGTGACCTATGAGGGAGAATTTGGCTGAATGGTTTTTCAGAAAATTCTCATTGATTTCAAAAGTGATTTTACAATACAAGAGTGAAACATATATAGGTGCGGAAGTGATCTAGCTTGGCGCCAATCCGTGGCATCCAAAATGGCGCCAAGTTTGAATTTCAAATTTGAATTTTGAAATTCAAACTTGGTTAGCCATGTGCTTAAACTGGCTCCCCTTCATCTTGATGTAATTTGGAAGCAATTTGGAGTGAATTTGTGGTGCACATGGCCGGCCATCAACATGCTAATCCATGTGACTCAAATTCAAACCAAATGTTTCCTAAATAACATCTAAATGAGATCTAATGCACCTATTAATGCTTTCTTTGTATAATCCTAATCTAATGGCCGAAATACAATGGCCAAACAAATACAATGAAAAGAAAATATTACAAGAATGAAAATAAGCCCAATATTGGATATTAAAAGCCCAAAGGCCCATGAAGCCCAAAACCAGGCCCAGTAAGCCTAAAGCCCAAAAATTCCTAATCTAGGGTCCATAATACAAGACCAAAACAATATGACTTCCTACACTACTAATATGAAATAAAGAGGTGGTCATTCATGCAAAGCCCAAGTGAAAAGCACCCTAGGCCCACCAAGCCCATTGGGCCCACTAAGCTCTAAAGCAGTCAAATCTTCAAGTAGTCTTCTAGCCATTGCTCTAGTAGTTGGACCCTTGGTCCATGCTCTTCCATCATCCCCTCCCTCTTGAAAAGGATTCGTCCTCGAATCTAAAGACTCATCCTCATCATCACTAGCACCTACAAAAGGTTTTAAATCACTTACATTAAAAGTAGGGCTAAGACCATAATTAGAGGGTAAATCAAGCCTATAAGAGTTATCATTGATACGTTGTAGGACTTGAAAGGGTCCATCTCCTCTAGGACTAAGTTTGGACTTCCTTTGTTGTGGAAAACGTTCTTTCCTTAGGTGAAGCCAAACCCAATCACCTTCCTCGAAGATCATTGTTCTTTTGCCTTTATTATTGGATTAAGCATATTTCTCATTTTGTATTTGTATATGAGTTTTAATCCTTTCATGTAATTTTCTAACAAACTCAGCCCTTGAAGTATCTTCCTTATGTATAAAATGGTTAACATTAGGAAGGGGTATCAAGTCTAAGGGAGTCAAAGGATTAAACCCATACACAACCTCAAAAGGAGAAATATTGGTAGTCTTGTGGACTACCCTATTATAAGCAAACTCTATATGAGGCAAATACTCATCCCAAGATTTGTGGTAACCTTTTAAGACTGCTCTAAGCATAGTAGAAGTGGATGAGCCAAGAATACTAGCATTAGCAAGTGAAGTTGACGAACTAGGAGTGGTTGAGAATATTTGGGAAACTAGAAGTGGTTTAAGAATACTAGCATCTGTGAGTGAACTAGATGAGCTTGAAGTAGTTGAGAATACTTGGAGCCAGAAGTGGTTGAGAATACTCAGGCAACCAAGAGTGGTTTAAGAATACTAGCGTCTGTGAGTAAAGAAAACGAGTTAGAAGTGGTTGAGAATACTTGGTACAAGGAGTGGTCGTGACCTGGGTGGTCTATAATACTCATTACGAGCCTGAAGAGTCTAAACAAATAATACTTGTACTTCATTGAACATCTAGTGGAACCCTTCAATTGAAAGAGACTGGACGTAGCTCAGTTTGAGCGAACCAGTATAAAAGTACTTGCACCACTCTTATATTTTAAATGCACTTTTAATTGATTAATTTAATATGATGAAAACTTCGTCTAATGCTTAACATCTATTAAAACCATCTTTAGACGAAAACCACACTTGTTCAATTGATTATTCAAAAGAACGGTTTTCTCTTAAGAAATATTTTTCTCTAAGAAGACGATGAAATTCCCAGACGCAAAATGATTTTGTGAAACTAATCCTAGGTAGTTTCTATTTAACTTTCACTAATACCATTTATTGGACGAAAGAGAGTCTTCTTGCAAAAAGTTTCTAAAATGTCTTTGTTCACACACACACATATTCAACCCCCCTTCTATGTGTTTCTCATCTAACTTCAATTGGTATCAGAGCTTAACCCCTTGGGTTGAGCATCTAACAATGCAGGGGAACACAACGATCTATAGAAGAACGAAAGACAAAGGAAAGCTGAAAAGCAAGGAAGACAAACGACTGGTATAGAGCTTAACCCCTTGGGTTGAGTATATAACAATGCAGGGGAACACAACGATCCATAGAAGAACGAAGGACAAAGGAAATTTGAAGAGCAAGGAAGACAAATGATAGAGAAGGTTAGGAGGAGTGATAGTTGACTTCTCCTTAGCTACTCCTTAAACTTGGATCTTCTTCATAGGAGATTGAACACGAAATGATGAACCAAAGACGGAGGAAATATCACGGATGGAGGAGGCTTAAGCCTTGGATGGAAGCATCCAAGCTTAAGGTGCAAGGGAAAGCTCACTTCAAAGAGGAGGAAAACCTAGTAAGATTCCTAAGGTTAAGCTTTCTTTCATGGTGACTTTCAAGGGAAAATTGGGCTGAATAAGCTCTAGTAACGGATTCAGAAACTTTAGATAGTACGGACAATATTTATTAATATATTTATAGTATTAAAAATTATACATATAACTTTTAAAAGTATAAATATATATCATAATTATTTTTTTATAATTTTTTATATTTATTCCCATGACAAGCTTTGTTTTGTTACTTACAATTGCTTTTGACTTCTACTAGCAAAGATCACAATTGTGACCACTGAATCACGCCTATGACAAGCCTTATTCTATCAATTACAACATTTTTCAACCTTAGGTAGTGTTAGTCACTATCATGACTACTAGAAGTCATGCTCTTGACGATTCCTAGACATCGAGTTACAAGCATATACCCCTCAACAACATTTCCAATAAGTTACAAACCATCTCAATCTCATCTATAAGCCCCAAAAATTAAATCAAAATCAACAAACTCACATGCACTGCATCAAAGTGATTATAAACAACATATACAACATGAAAATTAGTTTAAATCCAACATGCACCCACTCAACAACAAAGGATCAACAACTTTGGTTTTTGGGTTCACCTCCCCCAAAACCCCAACTTCAACAACCAACATTAAAATCAACATTCTAGTCATCAATGAGTGAATTATCAACATAAACAACAATAATCAACTTCAACAAAATAATTAATTCATAACATAGTATTACAAAACAAGTCCGATCAATATATTTAAAACAACGCAACGGGACGACGAATAAAATATTTAAAACAATGAAGTCGCTACTAATGTTTATTTTTACGGAAAA